TGGACGTATATTATACCGAGAAGAAGTGGGGATGTAAGTGCCCTCCTAGAATTTTGTCGACTCCTTTACTGAATGGAAAATATAATTTATAGGTCATCGTAGGTGGTACGAAGATCGATGATGATTGGTATGCTCCAGAATTTCTGTTACATGCCCGGACGTGTGTCTGATGGTTTTAGGTACCCAAACCCACGGCCCGAAACCTCTGAAGACGTTCTTGAGCGCGCATTTGCACTGTGCCCGGAGCTCGCACCGCCAGAGATCCGCGCACAACGGGCACCCACAATCGACGATGTCCGGCTAATCATCATTTCAGAAGGATGTGGTTTGAGACCCGGAAGGAAGGGTGGAATACGTCTTGATGTCCGATGGACAGAGAACAAAGGAAAGAAAGTCCCTCTCGTCAGCAATTATGGGTCAGTGATATGTCTGTTGTTTCTCTGAGTCATCGGAAGCTAATCCCTCACGACCTTAATTAGACATGGTGGTCAAGGATTCCAATCGTCGTGGGGGTCTGCGTTTGCTGCGACCGACCTTCTAGAGAATGCGCTGAAGGAGATCTAAGACGCTAAAGCCTTATGTTGATTATGAACGTATCAAGGGTCCGAAGACCTATAAGTAAAGGAATTCTAAATCGGTTTGAACGAAGTGCCTATCATGATGCCGCGGCCGGGTCTTGGTCTTCTTTAGTTGGAAGCGTATCCTTTCCTCTATCTTGTCGATGCATCTCATGGCCTCTCAGGCCATCGACTCTGAGAAAGAGATCGTTGTGATCGGTGCAGGTGAGCAGGCCTCGTCAGTTTGATTGACGTTAACCTGTTTCTTAGGTGTGATTGGTCTAACGACTGCCTTGCGGATACAAGAAACCGGGAAATACCATGTCGCCATCATCGCGGAGATATTACCAAGCGACCCGCTGACCATCAGATACACAAGCCAATGGGCGGTGGGTACTTTCATTTTATCTGTACGCAGGCGAAGTGCGAGCCTGTGTTAGGGAGCCATACATTCCGGCAGCTCTCAAGCTTATGTCGACGAAGCACACCCGAAACAATCAGGTCGGCCTTTACCGTTCCAGAGATAAGCCCAACATAAACACTTACGCTGCATGATGCGCTGAAGAACTTGATAATGAAACCTTCAAGATTATGTGGGACTTATCTGCGCCAGGTAGCGAAGCTGAAAGATGCTTCAAGCGACTCACAAAGAAGTCATACTATGGTGAATCGAGACCAAAGCCTCACCCCTTGGAGTCTATGCCAGATGTACGCTTCTACTACTCCCACTCTCGAATCTGGGCATATTAAACTCACCCAATAGTTTCGATACACGGATCCTGAAGAACTTCCCGAAGGATTTGTTGAGGGTGTTTCATTCAGCACCGTCTCAGTTGACGTGCCGATATATCTCAATTATTTACTATCTCGATTTCTTGCACATGGGGGTGCTATAGTCCGCGGGCAGGTTCAACATGTGTCCCAGGTCATGGAAGGCGGTGTGGGCCCATTCATCGATGCAAAGAACTCATGTAAACCAGCCGCGGTTGTCGCATGCGCTGGCCTCGGAGCAAGGTTCTTAGGTGGAGTGGAGGACAAAGATGTGATCGCGATTCGTGGCCAGACCATCTTGTTGAAGGCACCGTGGGTTAATGAATGTATTCATACCTACGACGGGCCGATGGGTTATGTCATTCCCAGACGCAGCGGGGACGTCGTTGTCGGAGGAACCTATGGAAAGGATGATTGGTATCCCCTTGCACGTCCAGAAACGAGCAAGGAGATATTGGAACGTGTTCTCAAGATATATCCGAAAATCGCCCCTCCAGAAGTACGGGCAATCAGGGAAGCGAAAGTCGAGGACATAGCACCTATTATCATCGAAGATCGCTGCGGTTTGAGACCGGGAAGAAAACAAGGCATTCGGATTGAATTGGATTTGAGCGGGGCAGTTCCTTTGGTGCTGAATTATGGGTAAGTTTTACCTTTTTGGATCTTTTTGTGGATTCGTGTAACGCTCTCGATGGTCATCTATAGCCATGGCGGATATGGGTATATGTCTTCCTGGGGATCTGCAAGTCTAGCTTTAGAACTATTGGAGGATGCATTGTACAAGAAGAAATAACGTTGGAGGGCTTAGCTATATTGGTATTTGTGTGCGTTCAGCAGATTCGAAACAAATTTTACCCAGTGTGTTTTGACTTGTGTTTCCTAAAAAAAAAAGATTAACTTTAGGTGTCATCTGCCGTACATCTTGGACACTGGTATCATTGTTCTCAAGGGAAATTACCTCCCCGGTGTCGGCAAATCTGACCATCCAATTCAAAACTTGACGTCTCAAACTTGTCGCAACACGTACAAGTCTTCGTTTCGGTGAAATTCTGGACGTCTCCACAGATACTAATTCCGTATAGTTGAAAAATGAAATAATGCTCAAGGCAGTAGTATTTATTCTCCTGGACTGTCCTGCTGACCCCTGCCCAACCATCGATGTCAATTTCCCAGCAAGAGGAAGCGGGCCTATGCCAAGTTTATGGACGTTGAAGCATCCCGTAACCGAACTAAGCTCAAGGATGATACTCAGCCTTCAACTCTGCAAACCCAAGCCGTGGCTGCAAGTCGTCCGATATCTCCCAGCCACCCATATCCCACACCGTGTAAAAATTACGAATAAGATACATACCGATGAGCCATCCGTTGCCGGAGGTTCTAACGAGCCGGTCAATGAAAGAATTAGACTAAAGTAGTTGAGAAATCCTTACGGCTCAAACATAGGCCAACAGTATTGCTCCTCCGTATATCCCGGCGCAATCAGGTCTGCAGGGCGGATGGTGATCGTACCCTCCGGAAGTATCAAAGTCATGTTGAAGTCCAATTTCCGGAGATCCTCGCATAACGGTCGACCACCCTGCTTGATGAAAGTATAGTTCATTCCAATGCCAGCGTAGATGTCCTCAATATAAGCCTCCGGCACGGTTACCCAAGACGACCCTGTGTCCCACACCGCATAATTTTGCACATATACGGTGTTAGTATGTATGCTCCCGTTCGTATTCAGACTAAAGTCGACATGGTTGATATAGGTAGACCAATAAATAAGCTCATTGTTGTAGTCGGTATAGCGCTGAACGTTGAAGTAGGTCACGTCCGTGCTGTTGTACTCGCTGGAGTGGCCTCCGAATTGGAAAACACCGTTGTTTGGCGAGAGTTCTTGTCCGGCATAAATGGCGAATTCATGCGCCTCCAGTGTCTCGGGATTGAAGAGACTCTCAAGGAGGGAGGCATGGACGGCATCCCTAGTGACATCGCTGTAAGTAAACTTTGCCTCGGGTAGATGACCAACGTACTCTGCGCGAGGGAAAGCTAAGCCAAGCATTCCGTCGGCATCGAGCCATACCCAATTTGAGTAGTTGGCGAGGAGCACTCGTGTGAAGACTTCGGTCGAAGTGTTCGCAATGGACAACGCATCAGTGAAGATTGTACTGTTTTCCAATTGAGCACAAGGCTGATCACACAAGGAGAAATGTACCCGGAAACGGCGCCCCCGAGATAATTAACGTCGAGAGTTTCTCCCGTGGCATTATAGGTCGAGGACTCGGATGGGATATAAGGCGTACGGTTAGCATCCGAAATCGGGCACGAGTCAACACACGATTGGGTCAGAACCCATGTAGGATCTGAGCCTGTGTCAAGCCAGAGATTGAACTCTCGAGGAGGTGTACCCAGCCTAGAATACAAGAATGTCGAGTCGACCTCCCAAATACCAGTGAAAAGACCTTACGAAATGGGTATCGTTCGGTAGCCCTCCTCAGTTATACTGATGGGTACAGTAAAAGTAATGGAGCTATACGTGTGGTGAGAGAAGGTCGAAATAATAGCTGCCTTATACCATACCTTCCGTGACAGAGACCACCACCCAAGGTCAAAAGTAGCCACAGCGTGGAAATGAGAGACATTTTGGAGAAATTTCTTGCGTCTAAACGGCCATTTTATACCGCGCTCTTCTCGCGATTTCGCGGCCGTTTCGTTGGCCCGAGTTTCCAAAAAATTTCCGACATTCATGGAGGCATGGCCGAGATCCATGAAGAAGAAACAGATGAACTGGGCGTGCTTGAAGCTCAATATACAGATAGAAAATGGCGAGAAGAGCAATCACCGCCGTCCACAGGTCATGGTTATGCATACAGTATGTATAGGAAGGACGTTGCAGTCCTGATTACCATGTTGGTATTCTTTACCAGCTTCTTTCACCGCATAAGATACAGAAGGACGCGGTGAGCGAAACCATCGCACAGTCGACTGCAAGAGGAGGTACGGAGTAGCAGATCATGATGCTGATTGAATGCCGGATTTGAGAAAATGGCAGCACCATCCGTTCCCACGATTGCTTCCGGGTACCAATCTGCTTTTCACGCGTCGCTACGGATTGTTCGGTACCGTAGCACAGGCATGTGTATGAACTCTGGTTAGCTTCCTTCTCAGGGACATGAAAACCAGAATAAACATCCTCCCTCCCTCCCAATATGAGAAACGTTGCTCTAGCCATGTATACAGGAAAAGACGCGTGGCTTTTTGATGGTTTAAAATTTAAGAAGGAACATGGCTCGAAAGGGTTCTAACCCTTCAAGGTCTTTCCTATATTTGGGTGGACACTGGTGACTGCTCTAGGGTTGCACACGAACCCCTAGGTTTATTCCCGGTAACTTACTGGTAACTTACACCCCTACCCTGGAGGGGTTTTTGTCGAGGTAACCTACATGTCAAATGATAGGTAATTAGGCAGAGATCTGAAGAATTTATGTATAAAAAACACAAAGGGAAAGATTTTCGAAAAATTCGGCAATTGCGGCGCGACAGTCATGTGAAAATACACATGATAGGGTAAGTTACAGTAACTTATCGTAGCAAAACCTCCTCAAGAGGGGGGTTGCTTATCCTTAGAGGTTTCGTGCGCAACCCTAGACTGCTCACTTTTAAGAAAAAAAGCTTCGATGCCTATGCAAGTGAGTCGACCCAGGTTCGAACTGAGGACCTTCTGTGACATTGGCCGTGTTAGACAGATGCGATAACCAGCTACGCCATCGACCCAATAACCCCAGTATCTCCCCTATAAAGGCCACGGTGTGGATACATCGAATCCACCCTCAACGCACCCCCAGCACGACCGAATATCCTTCCTGTTACAGCATTTACTCTCTCCGTTTGATTTTCAACCCGTAGATTGGAATAGGATCCACGGAGTTAGGCATAATTCCTCTATGTCTCTATTCCTTGGATCCCAGTGATTGTAGGCGAGATCACTGTCATCGATTGTCACCAAGTTCTCATGGAAAGCAAATTGAACGTCCAGTGCATAGAATGGCAGCAGCTTTCAAGCTGGAAATACCTTATGTTTGTTCGAGGACCGTGATTCAGTGTTGTGTGGGGCAGCGACTTGATGCAAAGTCGAGGGAAAGTCAACTGGCGGCCAAAGGCAGGGCATTTTTTGCCCTGACCTTTTCCCACGGCCTTTGATGTGGCGCCACATAGGGCCCAAGCTGTGCCCTTACGCATGTTCATGCAAAAGATATAGACATTACTACAAAATTCCTTACTAAATATCAACAATAGAAGCTGCTACATCATCAATATCAATATCTAAGCCACCGCTGATGTCGCCATCAGCATCAAGATCACATAGCTCATAGAACTCCAATTCCTCTGCTAAACTTCGTGTCGCGCTGCGCTGATGGGTGACAATCCATGATGCCGAATCAAATTTGAACAGGTCTCGAATAGAAATTGAGATCTTATCTTGTGTGATGAGATCAATATCATCATCCGCTGTCGAAGTTGTGTCCTCATCTTCCTGTACTCGGTGCAACATTTCCTCAGTAAGGCTTTGAAATGACCCACCAATGCTCCCCTCACTACCACTATGGTCAGTGTCACCCTCAGACTCGACACCACCATCCATCCATGCTTCGCAGTCTCCTGATTCTGACATATCTGGCACAACAGGTATTTCCGAAGGTGCAAAGGGGTCTTTGCCCTTTCCAAAATTACGCTTCAGCCGATCACGGACCGTCGCAGCCTTCTGGAGATGTTCATCACGTATGTGCATCTTCATCTTGGCAAGTGATGTCAGCGTCTTGGTACCAAGACGGTTACGGAGTTTGGTAAGTGTATTGCCAAGTACACTGAAGAGCCACTCGCAGGATGCTGGATTGGCACAAACGGAAAACAGATGTAATGCGAGTCGGAAGAGTGGTGACATAGGAACTCCGGGACCGTGTCCGAGACCCTGGTATATATGGCGAGGATCAGGGCTTTTGTTCTGGGCCAGACTCTGCTTTGCGAGAGTGGCTGACCAAGAGGGAAGGATACTACATATTCCAGTGTTGAACATGTAGTCTTGGATATTGCTGAGAAGTTCAGCTGAGTCAAGTGGATCAGTGAAAAACCGAGTATAGAGGTGAGAGAATAAGTCATTAAGGCCAGCCATTGTCAAGAAGGATGTCCGTGAGGTGAGGCAAAAGGGTGTGAGCTTCATGAAAGGATTGAGAACCATGGCGGCAATGAAAACTTCTTGATCTGATTTCCCCCACCGCTTTTCAATGCTGCTTAGTAGTGCATGGCGAACATATTTTTCCGCCATGTCCGTGGCAGAAAGGGATTTGGAATAATGAATGAAGAGTGATCCTAATGTGAGAAGCACCTGGTCAAGATGACAGAAGGCTGACTGGGTGATATTGGCTGCAATTGCAAGAGGTTCGAGATGTAGCTTTATTCTATAATGGTATATTAATATAAAGTTGTTAATAAAGAAGCACACACATACCTGGCAAGTGATTTCCAGAACAGCGGATCATTAATGATACCAATCATTTTATTCGCATGACGCCATGCACCTGCATCTCCTATCGCTATCTTCTTTTCCTTCTGTGGGAGCATCTCATCTTCAGCAACTAAGAGCTTCAGAGTAGGCTGAAGTTCAAGAAGATGTCGAAAGGCAAGATAATGAGCAGTCCATCTTGTGATAACTGCATGGATAACAGTAACCATTGAAGCTCCCTTCCTCAGTTGTGCTTCTTGGATCAATGCAAGTAAGAAGGTCTTGCTGCGTAGCCAAGTAATTAGCTCAGTAGCAAGAGGACTGTATAGGAGAAAGTCTTGATCGGCCTTGAAATAGTCTCCAACAATCAGATTTATCTACCGTAGAAATATCAACAATCTGCATAGATAGCATAATATCAAATTACTCACTTGATGTGCATAGCAATCTGGGGTTATCAAATGGGGGAAACGATGCGCCAACAGCTTCCTAGCCTTTCGAGACTCACCCGAAGCATCAGTTGTAAATGTGATTACACGAACACCCCACTCATTCTCAAGAATATTGATAACCTTGATCATCCTTTCAAACAACTTCGCCGCAGTCTTCCGTTCATTGGAAGCATCATCTACACACACGGTTTGTACCTTGCCATTAACAGTAACCATGAATGCAATGTAATGATGATGGTTTTCACCTGACCATCCATCGCACTGCACTGTGACACTTTGTCCAGCTGCTTCACGACGAACAGATGCATGCATAGCATCCAGAGTTGTGGGAAGAAGGTGATTTGTGACAACTTTCCGGCTAGGAACTTTAGCAGCAGGAATAAAGTCCTCACAGAACGCAATCCACTCAGGATTTTCGACCCATGAAAGGGAAAATCCAGCAGATGCTGTGAGGCGCACAATCCGTTCATCAAATCGAGCTTGATCAGACAGTGACCAGCTGATAGGTGGAGGCTGATACGTAAATGATCCCTGGCAAGAAATTGAACGTCAAGCACTTTCACTAGGAAAATGATCCAGGGAGCCATCATCATGACTGTACAGGGAGCGTCGGCTACCAACAGCAGAGACAGAATCTGAAGGAGCAACAGATGGTGCTTGAGATAGGGAGGAGTGTGGTGCCAAGAATGAGGAGGATGAAGAAGATGGCCGGGATATCAGTGGGCCAATGTCAGGATGCGATAACAGGTCAGTGGATTCAGGATAGAAGCTAGGAGAAATGAAAGACGATGTTGGATGGGATGGGATGGGATGAGAAAGTTGAAAGGGATGTGCAGGGATCATGTTTACTGGTATTGGTGGACGGCGCGTGGGTCTGACTGGACTTCGACTCTCCAACTCATTTCTAGCTCGGTCACAGACAGCAGGGGGTTGCCGAGGGCAGTCATGAAGGTGTTTCAGCAAGGTCTCTGCCTGAGCTACAAGCCATTCACGAGGAACAGCACTATTTCCATCAGTGGAAAATACTGAAATGTCCAATATTAAATCAGTTATATGATAAGAGCAATAGAGACTCACACATTAGCTTAATATCACCTACAGTCCGTACTTCCTGTCGCTGTCCATTTGAAACCTCCACTTCATCTGCGAGCATTACCTCGCCAATGCGTGCATTCAAGCATGGACTGCACATTACTTTACATTTACCAGATTGGCTGGCTTCGGGCCTCTTCAAGCTGAAGTGAGGGTGGTCTTCAAAGCAGTCGCGCCACCAACGATGGTTATTTGTGGGCTTGGGGGGCATAGAGAAGATGCTGAACAGAAAGAAAGGTTTCGAAGGCAGACTGATATTTCTAGGGCTTGCCTAGCGCAATATATAAGAACTTTGGAGCTTCATACATATAACTATAAAGAGATGGACGTCTAAGACTATTAGAAGGTGGGGTGCACCGCTGTCACACCAAAAGAGTTGTAAGAGAGATCTTACTGTAGTGCCAAGGCTGTGCGAAGGGCTGGAAGAGAACAGTAGATATGGTGCAAGGAAATTTATAGAGAAAGAGCAGGTATATATATATATGGAGGAAATGAACGAAGCCCGCCTCTATTGGGCCTCAAGACTACCCTCAGTCATGCAAGCATTGACTCGACGGCGCCTCGATGATGGGAACTGATGGCAAGATTGCAAAATCAGATGCTTAGTCATGCGCCCTGAAAGCCAGGGCAAAAAACGACTTTCCGACTTGTCGCCGACTTGCCATAACGTCACGACCTTGACCTTCGACTCTGGGTCGTTGCCCTTCCAACACTGCCGTGATTGTCATCTCTATACTTGAGCACGTCAACCGTGCACTAGGCTAATTGTAATCAATCATGCGGCGGCAAAGTGACAAAGAGCTGAGCTCTGGGGCGCTCCATCATCAGAAGCTGTACTCGCATGTTACGAAATCTATAGGCGCCATGCGGTGATTGACTGAGGTTATATGAAGGCTCTTCTACCACTGGTCTTGGCGGATGGCTGCGCCCCTAGTATGGTCTTCATTCACACCAAAGTGGTAGACATTTAACTGGGCATAGCTTCCTCCTCGCTGTACTCACTCCTTGCGTCGGGACTTTGTCACCTTATCTAGACGGCGTTATACCTATGGGGTTGACGTTTGATGGCTTCTCAGCGATGCGGATTCTATTCGACTCCATCTAAGCGCTACAATTCATTTCTCGGGGCGCTTACAAGAATTATTATTATCCACGAGGTCATTGGACGATACGAGACAGCTCGGTACTCGTATATAAGGCGCTGAGTACGTTGATTGGAAGGACACAACTCCCACCTGTTTTACCACTACACCACTGACAATTATGCGTCTCTCTCGAGCTTTCGCGTGTCTTGCCACATCTCTTGTCCTTGCGCCGCAGGCCTATGCAGGGCCCATTGCATATGGCATCTGCCAAACTGGTGGGTACAGAGGTGACTCAATTGTGGGCGCTATCTGATGGTCCGAGATATGTAGGCTGTAACACCATGGCGGTCGCGTGCTACGCGGCCGCTGGAGCCACCTTTGGAACGATCGTCGCAGCGGCTGCCGCACCCGTTGCTATTCTCGGATGCAATGCTGCGCTCGGAACGTGCGTGATTTCGTCTTCAATATTAGTATTGCATTCATATGCTTGTACAGATGTTCCGCTACCTGCGCTACTGTGGCTCTTTTAGCTCCGACCCCGTGAAGAATATAAGCATTCGTGACAGCGAGGGTATCGCCGTAGAATATAAAGTTTGTTGAGAAACGAGGATACTACAAATGCACCGTTCCGTTATAAAAGTCCGC